ATAGGCTGGTATCGGCCAGTATCGGTATCGGATCGGAAGTCCAAAAACAATATCGGTATCGGATCGGAAGTGCAAAAACCTGGATCGGGACATCTCTATTACAAAGTAAATATAGGATTATAATACAATGATGTGGAGATGATCATAATCTGTTTAAAAAGAGTGTTTATTGTAATCTAGTGTGTGTTGAACAGAGCTCATGTCTTGTCTGATCCAGTGTCAGATGCTTAAACATGGATTTTTTCACCTCATATTCTCACCTTGGAATGAAAATTAGACAGAAATTTACGTATTTAGGACAGAACTGTTCTGGTTTTGTTTGGTGTCGTTAAATGCCTGAAATAATAGGCCTACTTTGTTGCAACAATTGAGTCAAGAGCGTATAGTGGGATTTAGAGCAGCAGATTTCTGGCATTGCTGCCAGACTAGTTTGTATTCTAGGAGAGCGGGAAGGAGAGACCATGGCTGTGGGTTTTTTCGTCAGAACGGCCTGTTTGAAATGCAGCAGGTTGACGCACAAGCCCAACAGTGCTTTATCTTATCGCAGAGAGAGGGAATATGAAAAAGAAAAGAGGAAGGAAAGGTGTTGAAGAGAGACCGACTGAGGGTCTGTGCAGAGTTAGAATGTTGGAGAGCTGGAAAGTAAATCTATAAAGAGCCAAATAAACCCGTTTTACTGATATTCTCTAATATGTGTGTGTGTGGGGGGGGGGGATGAACAGTTTGATGAATAAATAAGTTAACCTGCTAAAGAAGCTTTCTCACAATGTTATTAAATTATTCATCATATATACTTGCCGTATATGATGTCAGTGTAAAGATCTAAAAGGTTTTATAAAATCTACAAATAAAGAGTTACGGTTTAAGGTAACAGCTATTCATCTAAATGAAAAAAAAAAAAGCAAATAAAACAGAAATAAATAATTACTTTGCCATAAATAGGACATTTTTTTTCTCTTCTCTCGGTTTATTTTATCGAACAGACTCTTAAACACAGTTTTTGTCTTTTCCTCCTGAAGGTTAGAGGAAATCTAAACCTTGTTGCTTTAGCTCAGCACAGTTTTCCTTTAGTCCTCTGCAGCATTTTGAGCAACATCTCCATTTCTAATTTAATGTAGAACATGTAAGCAGTTAAGAATGTGTTTTTATCCTCGTATTTCGTATGTAACCTGGACCTAAGGCAGCGCTTTTCTGTTAACTAATTGGAAGTACCTTCTAGTGTGGTTCTAAGCAGGTAAGTTAGGCCTTTAGTCAAATAAGTTTCTGTTTGTTCGATTTAGGCCCCGTCCACACAAAGTCAAAACGAACACGAAACGCTAATATTTTCCAGAACGTTTGTCGTAAAGACGGAGACGTAAAATAAATGTGATCGTCCACATGAATGCATGAAAACGCTGCAAAATGTATGCCAGGCCTGTAAGTGGCGCTGTGGTGCCAAAGCAAAAATAGGCGAC